ACCAAAGGTTTCAGTGTATCACTACTACACAAAAAATGTTTTTGTCTCTTCTAACTGGAATTGTTTGGCAAAGTATTCGGAATTACCTACTTACTAGCTACCCATACTTTGGTATTTTTTTTATTATGGATTTTCAAAAATCATCTACATTCTATTTTGAATTGAATGACAGCTCGTTCATATTTCTCGGAAGCGGAAAAAAGTTTGACTTGAAAGGCACTTGTTGACCAGAGTAGTTATTTCATATTTGTACCTATTATAATAATGGAAAAATTGAATGAATGAGTGTAGAACATTTTTTCTGTTCATATGGAATTATTTTGAACAGTATAGTAAAATATAAAATGGACGAATAAATGTGATTATATATGTTAACATAAAGCTGACACTATTCTTAGGTGACACCTAGTTACTAGTTAGTTACTAGATATTGGGTTTAGTTCTGCGATATTATTCCACACACCCGCTTTAATTACGTGTGTAAATTACAAGTATAAAGTAGCTCTGGGAAGGGGTGGATTGAATTTTTCTCGCAGGTAGCAACAAAATATTGTTATAAGTAATAAGAAAATGAAGTTTGACTGAACTATTCTGTCGAGAAGCTCCGGACCAGCAAAATACCGCGAAAAAACACAAGTGTAAACTATCAAGGGCGGGAATTGATTTGTTCTAATTGGATGCACTAATATCATGTTATGAATAGTTTTTATTTCGGAACCAACAATTTTGTATCTCATCTCGAAAGCGTTGGACTACCTATATCTGTGGAAATTGCAAGATTCAGAAAGTCGGTACCGCTCACACAACCATGTTGAAAGTTATTGTTTAGACAACAAAATTCACACTCACATATCTGAATGCTAGGCATTATACTGAAGCTTTAGAACAAACATTAAATAAGTTTTTTTACTTACTCTCTTCAAACCACTTAATTATGCAAATTCACCAGGGACTACAACTGCTTCCACTAACACACAAGAAACAAAAGCAACCCTAAACCAACTAAGCTTGAGCGCGAATCTGATCTGTTCAGAGTGATACTGCTGGTGGTGGGGGCACGAAATAGGTTCGCATATGTGAACTGATCGCACCTCTTTTACTAACTCTAAGGGCGGGAGCAAAAGGGATTTTCAAATCAAATATAAAGAAAAGTAGATACTTAGGTACCATTATTATTTTACACAAAGTTTGGTAAAGTGATGATCGATGGCTATAATCTAAAATAAGGCATGAATTCAAATTGTCAGACCAAAATTTCAATTTTAACATTTAGAATAAGCATATGGTTTTTGCAATTATTTACAGCATTTCACAAAAAATCAAGAAAGTTGTTTCAGCAAAAGTTTACATTTAATTGATGTAAAATTGTTCTTTTGTGAAATTCTGCAAATAATCGCAAAAAGAAATCATCACATAAACCACTACACCGCAAAAAGTTTAAAATTACTTACAGTATCGTATTATTCATTATCGTCTGAAGGAAACTCGTCGGATGAAGAGCAACTATCACGATCGCTATTATTCAAGGTGATAATCAATGGTTCAATTGCAATATCAAGTCTAGTGTCGAGATCCCACATTTTGTCTTCTTCTTTTATCATATGTCTAATGCATTTTTTCCATGACTCGGGTGTCACATTTCATATCGCAGTCGCTAGTAGACCTTTCACCTCATCCATTTTAAAAGTCAAGTTTTCTCTCGCCCCTTGGTGGGCCCATATTAGCTCGATCGGGTATAGCTCACAATGGTGAGGAGGGAGGCGCTGTACAATTACTAAATTTCTATTGGATTACGATAAGCCCCTTTCCAGCAAGTATCGTACCTATAATTAGTTTTAATTAAGGTAGCAAATGGAACATGACTACTTTGTGATTTCTTTACATTATTTATTTAGTATTATAGGTAGTAGTACTGTTCATTAAAATGTTATATAATGATATACTCATCCAAAAATAAACTAATCAGTCACTATCTGGATACAAATTTTCTTCATCTTCACTGCTGCTTATGCTACTATCGTCATTTAAATTTATAATCACTGGATTTACCTCTGTTTGAACGTCTGTGAATGATTCATTCCCAATATTTCCGCTCTATATCTATTACATGTCGGCAAAGCTTTTGCCATTCCTCGGATCTGATTTGACCAAATTCGTGCTCTATACCAGTTTCCTCACATTTCACAACTTAAAAGTTATATTCTTTTAGGACTCGTTGTTTTTTACAGTAGCCCAAATGAGTTCAGTGAGATTCAAATCCAGATGGTAGGGTGGAAGTAGCTAACAGTTAGGTATGTCCGTGTTCAAGCAGAACTTCATAAAATTTGTATATAATAATATGCTTTTTATTCACCTTGATCAGCTCGTATGATTCGGGTTTGAGCATGTTAGGGAAGAATTTGTGTTGGGGGCTGGATTAATTTGAATATTATGGTATAGACTAGTATAGAGCATTATCGGGCACGATTACCGAATTCACAGGTAAATTTGGGATCAACTTTTCTTGTAATCATTTACTATACTTTTGAGAATTATGTGAACACATCTCGTCGACAACTTAGTTAAATCACTACACAGATTAACTACGTCGTTATACAACATATTTTCATTACGTTCACGGAGCCCACAATACACATTGTATATATTAGTTTTTTCTCCTTCAGATAAATTCGGACGACTGCGTTTGCTTTGACTTTCCATATTGCTCACAGTTTACAGCATAAAATTAAACTGATTTATATTTTCTTTGTTTCAGTCCTTGAACAAATCTCCGTGGTTTTTACCTGGTATAATTTTTTTTTATTTACTATTAATTCTTTCTCTAGAAATGTACGTACCTACCTAAATATAGACGTCGACTACATTATTACTTCTTAGGTATCGATTAAATCTATAAAAAGTATATTATTCCTCTTTAATGTTCATCTAGATACACTCTATGTATTATTCAACGAATGTTACACTCATGAATGTTAACCTAACCTCGCTTAGCTGATAGGCCAATATTCATATTTCTCTCTATCTCACGGCAAATTCATTTTGCCGTTATTTTTTCCGCCCCACAAACATTTCTGTGTACGCAACATTGCCATTTATAAGTTTTAGTCGCAGAATATACGTAATTCAAATTTTTTATAGTCATTTAATAAACATNTTATTTCAATCATTATGCGTATTTATCAAAAAAAACCTGAAACACGATATATTAAATAAAAATTTCATCCCTAAATCATGTACCTATCCTTGATTAAAGCTTGCAACCCCTTAATTTCCAAAGGAAAAGTAAGGGTTCGTGGCACACATTTGAAAGGTTTTTTTCATTAAATATTCAATAATAAAGTTGTTTTCAAATTTAGTGAGGAATAAAACCAAGAGGAAATAAAACCATCTTTGTAGGGAAGTTCAAAAAAGTGTATTGAGAACTTTTCAGGCATTTAGTACCGTTTATAGTTATAGGTCATATATGAAATATCAAAAAACTTCCTCAAATGCAACATGAAATAATATTTGTGATAATTACATTCTGATCGCAAGGGTGTCTTCTTTTTAAGTCAGCTGAATCTAATGGTCTAGTTTAGTATACCAGACTTTTCAAGTTTCCAATTCCTCATAGAAAAAAGTCTAATGGCGTGAAATCAGTTGATTGATCTGGTCATTCTAACGTTATTCGGTTCTAACGGAAAGCTTCTTCAGGGCAGTGATAATGAGAATGAAACGATAAATTGAACATATGAATTGGTAAAAAAGTAAAAACATTAAGGTATATGATTTTTTTTTGTTTGACACATGTTTTTACTTCGATATTTTTCGATTATGGATCACAAAATTTCTAATTATCACCCAAAAAATTAATATAAGTAGAGTTTTATCCCAACACCAAACCATTATTTTTAACACTTCAACACGTGCTTCAATCACCAAGTGATCATCTTCAAGAGAAAGATTGAACTAAATCTAAATACAGTGTTTTATACCATAGATACCTCT